AGTTCCCATGACACAGGTAGCCCAAACTGTTAAGATTATAGTGTCCTGATTGCTGATCACCGCGGATTTTTTTAAACAAAATGACCGTGGTTTACGATAAAATCTAAAGGCAACTAGCCAAGTTCCTCTTATATATAAATATAAATAATTCATCTGCTATAAATCTCAATTTCGCTGAATATTGATTAAGACTTTATTGAAAATGTCCAACATGATTGTGAAATATTGGCTTTACTTCGAACTGAATCAAATCAGTATCGATAGTGTATTGCTCTTCCTGCTTAAATATCAGCCATTCATTTCGAGGTTGGTGAAAAAACTTGGTCGAGTAAGCATTGCATTGTGGAACTGTTTTAAGGAACGAAATAGACGCCATCTTGGAAATATGTTCCCTGAATCAGCCCCACAATGCACTACGATGACAACTCGACCCAGTTTTTTTTATCAACCTCGGAATGGCTATTATAAAAGCGTGAAGAGCAATATACCGTGCACGGATTAAATGAATATTCATGTGACATTTAAAAAATGGCGCCAAGGGGTATAGATGTGCCTTAGTATATTAACCGCAAACATTTACAGTAAATTGTAAACAAGAACATTGCTTGGGCTGCCTGTGCATAGTTATCGTTAGATTGTCCACCAGTCTCACGCTCTGCCGTTTACTGTTCATCCTCTGCGCGCTATAAGATGAATCAGCCAATCAGAACCTCGAAGCTTTGTGAAAAAATGTTAGTTCATTAGAAGTCACCGTTTAAAAATATTTCGACAAAGTTTCTTTTCTTTTCTTTTAATTTATTCAACATGGCGGTCAATCAGTGCACGATAAACGTATAGCTAATAAAAAGGCCGTGTCATTACAATAATGGGGAAAAGCCATGGTCTTTATCAGCGCCAAGGTTCTAATCTATTGCTAGTAAGTTGAAGATAACACAAAATTAGCCTCGTAGAGCGGCTGACTAGTGCATTATTGAATCAGGCTTGTCTTAGTACCCTTGACTTGTGCTCTAGAAGATAAATATACCTTATGTCCTTTATCAACGAACAAGAATTTCATTTATTACTAATGAATTGAAGATAACGCAAAATTAGCCTTGTAGAGCGGCTGACTAGCGCCTTATTGAATCAGGCTTGTCTTAATACCCTTGAATGATTGTCTAGACGATAAATAAGCTTTATGTTCTTTATCAACCAACAAGGCTTTTATTTCTTACTAATGAATTGAAGATAACACAGAATTAGCCTCGTAGAGCGACCGCCTATAAAATCAGGCTTGTCATAAATACCCTTGAATGATGGTCTAGAAGATAATGCTGCCATTCATTTCCATTTTTTTTGTTATCCCTCCATTATTGAAAGCACTAAGCCGTTCCAGCAAAACTCAGCTACAATGTTTTATTAACATACACTCTGACTTTCCGATCTTACCATCTTAGACATTTCTCGTGGTATTTATAAGAAAATGGCCAAGAACCCTTGACGAGCTCTCTATGGTCACCATTCTTTGTTCTTAGCTCACTAATCTATTTGTTTTTCTTCCGAGGGATTCTCATTTGTTTGAGCTATTCAGGACACAGAACGATTCGCAAAGACTGTCTGTCTTTCGCGCAACGGTGCGGCATCGATTATTGTGATGTTACACAAGTCAATGTTCAATGCGCTCAGTATTAGTTCGAAATCGATTAAAAAAAGTATTACCGATTCCGCGGGGTATGTTATTCCAAAACAATTTTTTGCAATTTCTTTTTAGTTTGGTAAACAATATGATACCTTTAAATCTTTTGTTGAAATTAACCAACGTGGCGGCTATGGACTTTCTCGGCTCTGGCGCACTCAGGTGTAATGCTTTTCCATTTCAGACCACGTGTCAAGGGAATGACACGGGATCTGAAATGGGAAAACATAACTATAAGAACGCAGTATTGACATTAGAGAAAAACGTTTGTGCATGCGTGCACTTCAGCACGTTTTCTAAGAACTTTGAGGAGTTTGAGTGAGAAAATAAATGTTTGTTTTCTCCAAGTATACAAAAAAGTTCGAGAGTATACTTTTGTCAGACCAAGATACTGTATTAACGAACACAATATGAAAGAATTAGTTTTGGCATTTTGTGAAGTCCAATTTATCAGGCATGTTTGAAATTCAAATTCAGTTAGGTTTTGACTAATTTGCATACGGATTCAGAGCATGCGCAGACGTTTTTCACTCGTGTCCGCAGTAACACTGTAAGTTTTTTTAAATCTGCGCAATTTTGAATGTTGCGCTTTTTTTACTTCGATTTGTACCATAATGAACCTAGCCAGTTTACCCAGATTTATATAAAATATAATCAATCCTTATATTCTCCGTAACAACTAAATATTCTGCTCACGAGTCCAAATCTTCCCTACAGATTCCCAATTATCGCCTAAAATGAAAATATTAAATATAGCTGATTCAAGAATAATGGCAGATATTACGGCCCTTTTGGTTCGCATTAGTGTTGCATTCAAAGACAAAGAATATTTGTCTGATGGCTCGAATTTAATAACAGCAATTATGTTCAGTTTTACGGCTGTTTTACCCTTCGCTTAAAAAGTGCTGTAATTCCTGTTTTTTGTTTGTGAAAAAAGTAATGAACCGCAATGATGATGGTTAGCACGTTATCTTGTTTTGACTCGAAAAAATCTAAAATTTCCTTGGAGTTCCTCTTCAAGGAAAGGAAGTGTAGGTTGTTGTGTTAATATCAATGGCTTAAATTAAAAAAACCGACTGTGATATTCGGCAAAGTATATTGAACAAGTTTAATTTCTAATGAATCCATATATCGACGGTTTGTGATTTGTCCGTATATCATTATTCGAAGCACAAGTCTAAATATACAAAACCTAAGTGGTCAACACTCCACATAAGACATCATTAGGTTTTTTGGTTGTGAAAATGCGGCTCTTGGCAATTAAATGCAATAACGAGTGGTTTATTTTGACAACAAGGTTAAGATGAGATTACTATGACTCATGCTTTGACAATAGAATATGATGTAGGTGGAGCTTAGTTACTGAGGACATGCAGCCATGTCTTGGTAAATACATCTGCCATAGCACTTGCGCTAGTGCACGCAATCCCTCTTTTTTTATGACTCAGTAGAGGGACGATATTCATTTTGTAGGAATTTATACACCGAATTAAAATATGGCGAACAATTTGAATAACTACTGTTCTGGACCGAGTAACGACTGACTAGCCTCGTGTTCACGTGGAAACATATAAGTGCTGTTACATATACGAGAGGCTAGTCAGTCGCTAGTCAGTCGCTAATCAGTGCAGAACCGATAGTTATCAAATGGGTCGCCATATTTTGATTCGATAAATGACATCCATGTTGTGCGCGTAAAACGTAAAGCAATATGAATTTTTCACTCTGGGAAATGAAAACCTTGGGACAAACATTACATTGTTCCTGCGCTACGAAATGGCTACCGCAAACCTTTTCATACAAACACGCGCAGCCGATCCCAAAATAAAATAAACAAAGCTAGAGTAGAAAGAAAAGAAGCCAGATATTTCGCTCTATACGGTGGCCAGACAGCATCTGCAGTAAATATTCTTCAACATTATCTATGGTTGGGGAGAGTAAAAGCGAGTGTTTGTGTGCACACCTACAACGGCAAACAGATCGACGATAGAGGTTTTGCACCATCACGTGACGGCAGCCATATGTTAGATTGCAGGGAGAAAACGATCGTTTTAAAGTAGGGATTTAAATGTTCTGCCAACTAGCATGGCTAYCGGTGCGTGATGGTACAAAATCTCTGTTGTATTTTTCTGATTAAACCGCAAGCAAAAAGCCGTGAGTGTTTGCCATGCATAATTCGTATTCCAGAATTAACATCCCAGCTTCATTCCCCACATTATCTCGGATTTCGCTGAGTGCGCATCCTTCAGAAAAAGGTCCTACTAGGATTTAAAATGTCAACGAGGGAATGAAAAAAATACTCGCAAATAAATATTGAAAAAAACATACTGAATTCTGGTGTGCTTTGAGTGTCAGAGCATGACACTAAGATTTGCAAGGGCTCTTAGACCAGCTAAAACAATGCGATGCTCAATAGTTGTCTCGCTTTCACTCAGTCAATAAGCACTCTTATCTTAACGAGTGATTCAGACCGACTATACTCTCAAAGCTCTCGTCCGCTTTTGATTGAGGTAGATTCATGTTTTGAGGCAAAAGATTAAGAATCTTTACTAAGAATACAAGCAATATTTTGAATTGAGAAAACGAAAAAAAGTTTGCTTATACGTTAGTAGTTGCCGTGTGGTTTGACGGGCAATTTCATTACCGTCGTTTAGCGGGTCCCATTTACCGGATATCAAAAATTTTTTTTACAGCCTACGCGAAGTTGAAAGTAAATATCTGTGTCAATACAATTCTTAAAAAACTGTTATTGAGGATATGAAGGAAGTGGACCACGTCAGTAAAATATGATCAGCTATCAGGAAGAAAAGACTCCGTGTGACGTCAAAACGTATGACGTAATAGGGCGGATCAAATATACGCTGCCAAACCCCGCAATATTTACTCGAACTCTTCAACAAGGCTGTCATGTTTAGGGAACAAATGCTAGTGGCTATCGACACATCAAGTAATGCGGAGTTCTCATTAGACGGAAATGTTGAATTTTATTGCTTTGAACAATTTGCTAGAAAAAAAGATTATAAATCTATCTTAATTCCCGCGTTTTTATAGAAGAAAGCATAGGATATATGACAAATCGTCCGCTACCATTAGAAATTAGACGTAAATTGTGACCAATCAGCGCGACAAAATTATTATATTCACTTGCGTAAAAATACTAAATGTATTGAGAAAATACACAGGTGATTATTGAAAATCTCGCGCTTATTGGTCGAGAAACTCACACTATCACACAATAATCACTGCAGCGATAATCCAAAATGGCAGCCAGACGTTTTGTTGCTGTTACCGGAAAAAATGTCTTTTATCTTCTTTTTTTTTTGAAAGAATCTGTGTATCTATACTAAAACAATTATTTGCCTCAGCTCGAAGACTCGTGTCTCGGTAAATATTCCCCGATATTCACTTCGCCTTCGGCGAATACTGAATTGTTAAATATTAATCACCTAATTTGAAAACTAAACTTGATATACCTTACTTAAAACTAGTGTAAACCTACTTTTCATGGAGTTAAAAGTTGTATCAAATGGCATATCACTACAGGTAAGTGTCTACGACTGGTTTTCCTCATCCCGCCTTACATCTTGATTCTCATTGTCTTATCAGTTCGGGTATCATCAAACAGCCGTATCTATAACGTTGTACACAGTTCTATGGCCACTTTCATAATCCGTTGTTCGTATCTTTTTGATACTCTTCAGGAAGCACTTTCCTGAGCCATGTTTTGAGGTGCGCACGAACATCCGCACAAATCCTAGCCTGAAGTTCTCGCTGAAGATGAAATAAATGAATGGATTGAGCGCCGTGTTGAACAGGAATAGAAACGTTGTGATGAACAATATCGTTTTGATATTGCAAGCATCTCCAATTGTACCCCATTTGAAGATGATGAAGAAGACAACGACATTTAAAGGGCCGTAGCACATGAAGAAAGCCAAAACTATTGCAAAAGCCATCTTCAAAACGTTCCATTCTTGTTCTCTGCGCCGTTCTATCGTCCCCGAAGTGCGCAGACTCATTTTTTGACTCCGCAGCCTCAGTTTGGCAAAGATTAACGAGTACAAGATCACTAGGAGCAAAACTGGTATCGCAAAAAACAAACAGAACATTGCCAAGTAATGTTTCAGCATTATGTCATCGTGCTCATTCTTATCTGTCGACCAAATGTGTCTGCACATCGTAGTGTTATCTTGGGGATTCCATTGCAGTTTGTAGGTGAAGAAATAGCTGGCGTGTATCGCACAGGCCACTAGCCATGTCATGGGGATCACAATTAGACGAATTGTAGACGAGGTTGTTGTGATGCGCAGTGGATAAACGACTGCGCAGAAGCGATCAAATGCGATTACGACCAAACTCTGTACAGATACAGCAATTGACACATCTTGTATGAAGTACACCAGTCTACACGTTGCTTCCCCAATAAATCCTGTGATAAGCCAGGTGCCTTGCCCGTTCAAAAGCTCACATATAGTCCCCGGGATAAAAACCAGAGCAAGTAGAAGATCCGAAGTTGCGAGATTGACGATGTAAAGGTTGATGGATTTGTGACGCATTGATTTGTTTTTGTGGACCACGCCAATGACTAGAATGTTACCAAAGGTAGAGAGAAATAGAATCACTGAGAGTGAGAAGATCTTGATGATGATCTCGGCATCGGTGTCGTCTGGAATGACACTGCATCTTTGAGACGAAGAATTCAAGTCTGGTCCTGTGGGAAAAGTACTATTTGCTCGATCCATTGCTGAAATTTAGAACCAAAATATTAGATTATATTTGTGGCGCACATTTGTGCAATGATAAAGAAATTACCGATGAGTTGTTGTAATGTAAAAATTATTATTGAATCAAGTGCGTTAGCTCTTGAGACAGCTACTTCAATAAGGCTCCAACAATATGTCTGTTCTCTTTTGTTGTTCTGTTCAGTTCTTAAACGCGTTTTCCACCTACGTGCCTGTTTGAAATTGAATAATGTAGAAATTGCGAGAGCTTATTTCCGCAAAGTATAATTTATAATTATAATTAAAATTTCCACTTACGTTTCTCGTGATTAAGTAATTTACTTGACAGACTTTGGATCTCTCAACCCAAACGCAAAACACCAAACTAATCAATATAACATACACGCGATGAAACAATCATCTTTCATCTGAAGGAGAGCTTTTGAGGCCACGGTACAGTTATGTAAAGTGTTGAATTTGCCAATAACGAGCCTTTCACACACTCTAAACGGATATTTTGGTATTATTCGAAAGGATACTGATATGAAACAGCTATAGATCGACAAGATATAGAAAAGTTCATATCGGAACTCGTACATTGTCGGTCTCACGTAGTATGAAATGAAAAGCCATGCGTCATGCTCTTGGGCTGACTTCCAATGACCCGAATACTATTTTGATTTTAGGTCTTTGATACTAATAACAACTGACTTACTGACATCATATTTAGGCTTTTTGCAGAAGAGGTTTTGCACCATCACGTGCCGGCGCCATAATACTGCTTGGACTGCATGTGGCTAGATGGCAGAACAATAAAATCCCTGTGCTCTCGGGAATTCAATTCTTTCTCATGTAAAACGATTGTATTGTTCCTGCCATCTAACATGGCTGCCGTCACGTGGTGTTGCAAAACCTCTATATTTAAAGTTTTCAACCCGTATCTGCATTCTCTATTTCAATATTTACCTAACACAAAGCAGTCATCCAACCATCTTAGAAATAAGAGTAGTCTCTTTACCAAGAGTTAATACAGAAAGATTCAAAAATAGTTTAAAAAATAGATTACATTTTAGACATAGATTAGATATTTAAATACTTTTAGTATTATATAATATATTTTTGAAATCACATTATTCGTGGTGCTCGTTCCCAGTCTTACACTCGTTTTTTCGTATGGTCTATAACACTGAGAGCTTTTCAGCTTGTGCGCAATGTTTTTCCATTTTAGAATACGCGTCTCTCTCAAGACTATCATTTTTAGTTTACAGCCATCTCAATCACACGCGCCGCTCTAGCCATTGTTTCTGTCGCGACGAAGAAGCTTTTGGTGGACGTCAATCAAGGCGTTTCCATGACATTCTATAAGCACGTGCCCTTATAGCTTTGTGTTTTCCGACAATGTTATGGAAACGCCTTGTGATTGACGTCCACCAAAATCATGTTCGTCGAGACAGTAACAATCGCTAGAGGGCGCGTGTGATTGAGAATGGCTGTAACAGTTGTGCATGAATTTAAAAGACAAATAAGGATACAACTCAAACAAAGAATCTTATTCTCAAGAGAATGACATGTGGTCAGAAATGGGACAACGTTACGCCCAAGCTACTGTATTAATCTTAAATCTTATTCTATTATTTTTGAATAAAGGCAAGGATATATACTTCCTCGATAAGTTTCCCCGCCCAGTTAACAACCCATCACCGCCGAGTAAAGTTTGTCACTAGAGAGTTTTAGATTGACTTTTTTTTCTCCCCGCAAATGGCAAACGTGACCACGTTTTCATAGTTTTCCTGTATTTTACTTTACCTTTTACAAACCTTCTCACCAAGCGCAAATACTCTTTTGTTATTCTACTACTTGGACTTTTTTGCGATTCTTTTTCAGTCATTTAAAAGAATTTTTTACTGGTCAACTGACGTTTCACGTTTGCCGTGAACGTAAATCTAAAACTCTCTACTACCTTATTAGAAGCAGTGATAACACGTGATTTGGCATCCAGGCAACCAGAAATGTAAAAGTACAAAAAACATAAGGACTAAGACTCTTTAGGTTTTTACTTGTAGTAAGATGTTAAAAGGCTTAGTCAGTTTAGCCCTTGGTGGACGCATTAAGGAGCTTTAAAAGATGATCAACTGAGATGTGAATGACGAAGTTGATGGATTAAAAGAGCGAAATCTATTAACACTACTTATGACCATACATGATTTTTGATTTTTGATCGTAATTTGATTTTCCAAATGGGTCTTTTTTAATAAAGATCTATCGAAAAGTCTAAACCGCTAGAGAATATAATCCCTTACTAAAAGGTTATCTTGTAGTGACGAGCCAAGTCGGTGCGAGCTGATTTAATTACTACGGTTTATCCCGCGGCATTCCTACCTTAGATTGTACTGATGTGTTCCCTTGAATGTTTTGAAAGGAATTTTCATTTAATTAAAAGCAATGGACCGAAATTTTTATGTTATGCTGAGACGTACCGCCAGTAAAAAACTATCCACGGGCATATATACATATTTATACCCGGTATAAAACCATATAAACCATGTTTGATGAAATGCTTGAAAGCAAGAAGACTAAATTCGAACCAAACTTTACTATAGAATATATTTTTGATAATGTGGAAGTTCCATTGAACGGGCGTTGGAGTCAGTAGGGTGCGCAGATTTGCATTCGTATTCCATTGAGATCGCATATTTGATTATAAAAAAAGCTAATATAATAATAATAATAATAATAATAATAATAATAATAATAATATT